CAAACCAATCCTACATAAGCCATCTATGCATGTCCTAAACTAACCTCACAGGTGGGAAGAAGACCCAACAAAATTTACATAGTCGTGTATGATACCACGAGCTCTGTAATTCGGAGCCTAGGTACATTGCTGAGAACATAGGACTTCTGTGTACCTTAGGCTCTCGTCAAAAGGGAACGATCTCGAGTTGGTTAAGTCGACGGAATACATTAAGGTCTTTCTCTTTATTTCTTGCAAGTCTGCAACTTAGTTTTGTGGGTGTAGTTACTGGCTTTTAATATTTCAGTGTCTGGCAGCGGACTCTACAAAAGCATTTCAGCCTACAAAAGCATTTCAGCGGTTGAGATCTCCTACTTGCGGGTAGTGCGCTCATTCTGTCGGCCGTAATTTGGCCCCCGTGTTATGGATGGGGTTGGGAATTACATTTTTCGGATTCAAAGAAATTGTTCACGCTGCGTACAAAGATATTTGCACTCAAGTGTGCTACACTAGGTACATGGTAACAGACTAATTTTTCATATGCAATGTTCATCCATGAAGTGTATTTTTTCAGTAGAGTAGAAGCGAATGAATGGTATGAACATTGAACAGCCCTCCCAACCTCGATGCAGTGAAAAGGACAGCTACCAGTCATGAAATTGAATCTTAGTGCAAATTGGCTGAAATCTGGTAGCTAGAAGAAAGATATATTCCTTGGAGTTTCGTTTATTTTCGACCAAAGGCAATATTTTAATTTTTTTTTTCTTGAATTTCTTACAGAAAGACCGAAGTTGGAGGGATGGTTCCGCGTGAATTTGAGGCTTTCTCTACTGTACCTCACGTAGGTGCTAGTCACAAAAAGACTGCAATAACCTCGCCAGGCTATGGCGACTTTAGTGTATTCCTTTGCTCGACTGGTTGCTATCATATAAGTTGTGCTGCGTGCAACTTTGGTTGAAAACAAATAACTTGTTTCATATTTTAAAACTTATGGTACCCTTTGTTAATATCGCTGGCAACTTTAAAGTAGGTAGGCCTACTATATACCTAGCCACTCCAGACGAGTCTCACAAACTTCCATTTTATTATATGATCAAGCAATAAAAAAATTTAGTGACTTTTTCTCAAAAGTCTGAACATAAGGCAACCTTGCACATGTGTTACATTTAATTTTTAGCTTATTGGTGTTTCAAAATTTAGTATATTCTAGCGGGTTTTTCGAAAGTGGCGACTTATGTGGCATTGTGCCATTGACAGTAGCATAGGGTAAACGCGGTATATTAAGGACGCATCGAGAGATGAAAAACTATAAAAAAAAACGTATGCGTTACGTAAGTTCTGTTGCCTTCACATGACTCTCAAAACACTTCACTACGCGTCAGCAACGATGAAACGTCACAAAATGTTGCCATATTTATTAAAAAGCCTTTAGAATGGAAACCTACCAAATCCCTATATTCCGTCACTTTGTGTGGCAATATTCGACACGTGGCGAGTGGTATTGCGTCAGCGCTTCAAATTTAACTGATACATATTGCCGACATCCACGTGTTTGAATTCCGTTTGCTCTGTGTGAGCTGTATTGGGATACAACACGGCTTTGAATTAGAACACTAACGAATATTGAACACTACTTAATTACGTTTTAATTAACAGCTATTAGGCTTTTAATTAAGCAAATTTCAATTTTTGTACAAAGCTTTGAACGATCTGTGTGTGTCCAATTCAAGTTGTGTCGGAATTAGTTTTCATGTGTCGAAATCCAACATCTCAACTTAATCATCTATTAATTTATTTACGACTTGAAATCAGCGAATACAAGTATACTTCTGTCTCTTATACACATCTAGATGTGTATAAGAGACAGGACTAACAGTGCGCTTTCTCAGCTTATATACGCGGTGACCCGCGAATAGTGACGTCACAGAAGGTGACGTAATAGTCAGTAATGACATCACAACCTGACACCATTGAGCCAGGAAGACGAGAGGTTGTGTGTCACTCTATGAACCTAAGTACAAACATTTGGTGTTATAAAATCCGTGGGACAAATGTGGTACATGATGTGGACAGTAAACGCTGTGTTCGTTTTGTGCATCGTGCACTACATGGGGTCATGATCCCCGTGCACCAATAGAGGTGCACGATGTGAAGAGTAATTGTAGCCATTATCTGTAGAAACATGTGCCATATGTGACCACGACCCAGGGTTGGCAATTTTTTTGATTTTTTTAAAAAAATCAAAAAAATCAAAAATCAATGATTTTTTTGATTTTTTCATGATTTTTTTGATTTTTTTGATTTTTTTTATCTTTTCATATATTTAAATATATTGAGTGGCAGTCTTTAATTTATATTGAGGTATTGTTATTCATGGTTTAGTATAAATGTACTATGA